GTCGCAGACAAGGCGGATCTCCTAGACATACAATATCCGCGGCTGTAGTGTCTTTTACAAAGACAGAGGAGAGGGTAGTAACTTCTCAAAATAGGGTCTTTGCACAGAGGGAGTCTGCTTTGGCGCCGTAGATCTGTGACTGCATGAAGAAGAATATCTCGCTGGATACCAACATCATTCGCATGAAGGCCAAAAAGCTTTACGAACCTTTTGCTGAAAGCACTAACAAGAACGACAACGCAAAAGCAGCGCCACCGACTGCTTCTCTTCTCAGACTAACCCCCTTCAATGCCAGTAAGGGCTGGCTTGACAAGTTTCAAAAACGCTTTGGATATTTGAAAGGTTTCTTTGCATGGAGAAACAGCCTCTGCGGATAAAACCGGAGTCGAGGAGTACGCGAACAACACATTCAATACCATCATCTAGGAAGGGGACTGTAAGCCTGAACAAGTTTCTAATATGAAGAGAACGGGATTATTCTGGAAGTGAATGCCGTCTGGAACTTATCATGAATGGCGAAGCCAAAGCCCCTGGATTTAAGGCCCAAGATGACCGTGTCACTTTGACTATGTGTGGGAATGCTGCGGCCTTCATGATAAAGCTAGGGTTTATTTATAAGTTTAAAAACCGTAGGGTTTTAAGAAAAACAACAATGACGATATGTTGCCGTATTTTATGCTCCAGGATTTGATCTAACGTCGGATTGGTTCCACAATTGCTTTATCTGGTACAGAAAGGTCTCGAATTCAAAATGCTTCTTATGATGAACAATGCTGGAGGCCACGTTGTAAAACCCGCCGTACACTACATCGTTGATTCAGCCCATGGATCAACGCGTTATTCGAGCTTTTAAGGTGCTCTATGCGCGGAACCCCCTCAAAACCCCCTTTGAAGCAATGGACTCGGACGAAGAATCCTTGCCAAAAGTTTACTGGCGTGACTATACCATTGCCAGCAGGAAACTTTTGTGGCCAGAAGTGGTCCACGATTATAAGGATTTAGCTCCTGATGAAGGCGTAGCGAAACTGCTTCGAGGAGATGCCTTCGACAACATAAGTGCTGATGATGTGAATGACCTGATAGATGCCCACTCACAACCGTTGACGGACGAGGATCTGACGGAGATGACAAAATTAGCAAGCGAGAAAGAGGAACAAGAGGAACTAGTGGCTGAAGAATAAGGAGGTTGGACTAACACTCGATCGCTTCATAACCATGACAAAAAGGCGAAAGACTTCAGCGAGCGGCTCAGAAATGGGAACCCAGATTTTTGGCTCGTTGCAGTTTTCAAATATCATCAAGGGTGGCATGGCGGTTTATATAAACCTTCTCGTCCAGAAAAGAAGCAGCGCCAGCAACAACCCACAACTATCTTCTTCACCTACGTCCTTAGAGAAAACAGAAGCTACAGACGAGGGCGAAGATAGTGCACCTCCTGATGAAGTTGCCCTTCAGAGAGTCTGTAATTTTCTTCTTGACCTTGGCGTCATCTCCTTGGCACCGCACAGCTCACTCATCTTCTTCATTATTCAAGTTGTAGTATCTTCATTGATGAATGCCCATTTATGAATTTTATATGTCGCTGAAGTTACGTAGGTTTGCGTGGTTATAAAAGTATGAGAAAGATTAATATGAGCGTGGGAAGGGTTGTTTATAACCTTTTAAACTACTTTATTTAATTTTCCTTATTCTTTTAATGGTATTTTATATAATAGTTATTCCGTAGGAAAACGTTATTGTAAGCTGATTCAGAGAGCAGTAGTCATTAAACTTTTGAGGGGAAGTTACTATGGTTACTCTATTTTGCTTCTTCTTTCATCTACCAAGAAACACTTGTCACACCCAACAATACCTTTGTTTTTCTACTCGTTTATGCTCGTGCCATTATCACATCCCAAGGTAACGAGAAGGCGGACCACTCTGATTCAATGTTTGTTTTTGTCATCATCCTTCTTCTTAGTCACAGATTCGTGTAAGGTATCTATTATTTGATGGAATCTTTAAACTATGTAAAAATAATGAAACAAGTTCGCCACTTCGCGGCCTTTCACCTATCTTGAGTGTTTCTGTAACGTAACCCCCGTGATAGACGACGGACCACTGCATATTACTTATACATATTATGTATGTAATACTGAAAGACACCTCTTCTGGGGTCTGTTTGGCATCGATAGGCAATGAGGCGAATTTAAATAATAACAGGTAAGGCGAGAAACAACTTACAGGCTGGAGAAGTGGAAAACCAACTCTGAAACGGAGCACATTCGGAGACATGAATGATGATCAAACAAAGATCCAAACGCCCTACTTACAAATCTTAGAAAGAACAGCTGTGGAACTGAAAATGCTACCTGTATGGTGCTTGTCTAACGGAGCGTTAGTGATCGCGTGTTCCACTTATTGTCCAACTGGCAAACACCTATTTCTAATTAACTAATATGATTCGCTGAAAATTAAAATTGATTTTCGCTTGTTACTCTGATTTAGAGTCACGAGAAGAAGTACGTTAGCGGAGGAAATAGAAACGAGTTGTTTAGGCGTTGCGACACAATCTCCAAGCAAGGGGTAATCTAAGCTGAAAAGGATTGCAGCTACAAGTACAACAGATGTATGAACTCCTGAGGCAATGAATACTTAAGGAGCCAGACAAGCCAATGAAGACGACCAGGACATCAAATCAAAACCGTGAGCTACATATGAAAATGTGAGAAGGTAAGTTAAGAGGACAAACCAAAGGAACTGCTTACTCAAGGAGGTAGTAAGAAGCGCCCTGAAAAAGTGAGTTTGTTAGGTATTCAAAAAAGCACCTAAGACTGAATGGAAATAAGGTTCGGCAACAAACTTTGAAATGGTACTTCAAACAAAGCAAAAGCCAATCCGAAGATGTCAGGCAGTAAGACCCCGTGAAAGGAGTAGTGAAACCGAAAGGAGTAGTGAAAATAGAACGGAGGATCAGAATGGAACGTGAATTTACAGCTACATACACGGTGAAGTGAAACGTACATTAGGCCATAAACATGGAAAACATTCTGTCTGGCACAAAATAAACGGAACCACTCTGTGGGTAAGGAAAAATTAGAAGCAACGGCAGCGGGAAAAATTACAGTATCAACCATGCCCAAACAACAGGTGGGTCCCTTCCGACTTCAGAAAATCATGAAAGTACGTCAATGGACGTGTTTCCTAGGGAATCAGCTGAGGAGACGGGAAATACATGCGCGTACTCTTAGTCAATGATGAAAGAAACAAGAGCACCCGTCACCTGTCCACGCATCAGCACAAATCAGAAAGGTAGGGCTATAATGCAGGGCAGTGAGATTGGCGAATACTGTAAAGACCTCTGTGAACAAAGAGTCACATGAGTTACCTCTAGTACCGACAATAGCACGTAGCAAAAGCATAAGCCAAGATGTGTGCTACATCCGTTTTCCCGCAAAACCTGCAAGTAAAGAAGTTGGTAAGAGCCAGGAAGGAGCACTAAAGCAGGACCAATAAAAGAAGAAGAGTCTCAAGCTCCATCTGGTGTACACGAAACCAACGAAACTGACTGAGGAACGTCGGTGTAACGCACAGCCTGCAGAGAGAAAGGGGAAACCTCGAGCTGCCAAAATAAAAGCGAAGTCACCATGGAAAAATCACAAAAAAATGCTTCTCTACCTCCATAGAAACGAACTACTGGGTAGTCTAAGACTGAGAAAGTCTTAGAATTAACTACTACAGGTAGCGCAACAATCGACGAGATGTTTCGAACAGAAAGGAGCTTGAAAGAGACAATACCGCAGATCGGTGCAAGAGAAGCGAAAAATGCATCGACCTGCGAAATAGTTTGCAGACAATTCTTTATGATTTATTACAAAAAATGCATAGAAAACAGGCGTGTAACAGGGGGCCATCTCCTCCTCTGAAAAGCAGGTACATGATTCTCCCTAAAAGTTTTACACAGACGTTAAAAAATCTGAAACCGGCACTGCACGCAAAACATCTTTGCTTTTCATGAGAGAAATAGTAGACGTTGTAGCTTGAGGTATTGCAGTGATTAGTAAAGGGACAATGCAGTCTCGAAAGAAACTATTCTTATAGCTACCTACAGAAGACCAAACAGAGCAGACAAAAAAACTGCTGAAACTGCTGCAGGAAAGTACCTCTACGTCTAAGCCTCAAACCTTCTGCTCTTCCATAATGGAATACAGGTCGATACGAAAAATCGGCTTGGGAAAGGGAACCTAACGGAAGTGAAAAATTCTGACACCTGTTGGTAAGAAGAGAAAAGCATGAATGACCAAGAATCTCAAGGCTGTTATTGTACAGTCAACAAGATGCCCGAGGCAGCAAATCAACATAACAGCAGTATCGAAATCACAACTATATGTGTCATGACAAAGTAACGGCGTGTTGCTGTAGTTACGAAAGCACCTCAAACGAATGGAAGGAAGGTGAGGAAAAGCAACGAAGGATGGAAAACTGCTTCTTCAAGCTGGTGGTTTTGAGACCCGTGCGATGGTAGTGACTAGTTCCATTCGGAGGAGTTCCTGGACATGTACCCAAACCCCCTCTTAAAGCATGAAAAACAGATATTGTGTATGAGGCAATTTTAAAACGACAAGCACTTCAACATGACAACAAACCAACGGCGTAGAAGGAAAACTCTAGAAAATACGACTCCGGCACTGCGGAGAAAAAGCGCAAAAAAAAACCTGCCGCAAGCTAACAGCCGTGGATGACAATAGGAATTGTTGGTCAGATCGAAACTATGAAAAAATCATAATCGTTGCCTCTAAGTAGTACGGCTATTTTTGAACGGCTTCGAATCGAAATTAAGTCAATGCCTAAAAGTAAAAAGTCATCAAGAGGACTACCTCTACACCCAGCTACGAAGCAATGAGGCTCACCCTCTAAAAGTAGCTTGTGGCAGAAAATATTATGTTCAGTCTAGAAAAGCGTGAAAGTTCTATTTCAAAAATTGCAAACTTCGGATGGAGAGTAAACTGTACTATGGAGGAAAACGCGAAATCTGAAACAGAATCCATCGAAAGTGAACGAGTCACATCGATTAATCTAGGAAAAAAAACATTTGGAAAAAAACAACAGACGAGATATATGAAACATCCTGAATGTGGCTACTGACTAAATGAAATGCAGCAACCACCAGAGCGCATGGTAAAGTAGGGATGGAAGACCCATCACAATTATTTGATTAACAAATGACAGGAGCTTCCCAAAGCTCATGAACAAAAGTAACATCTGAAACGGTCACTAAACCTCAAGAACCGCTTCTGAAGATTACTACAACTATGACAAGGTGCAGGGGAAACAGTTTCCGAGGAAAAGCTTCACCTAAACAACGTGACATAATCAAAAAAGCAATTGAACAGGCCTGCGATAAAAGGGTTATAAAATGTACTATTATATCAGCAGCCAGGTCAGCGGAAGAGTAAAGAGTCATAGCATCTGATGCTGAAGAAAGGAGCTGCGAATCGTACCAACAGAGTCGAAGCAAACGATTTCCTTCCGAACAACGAAACATCCTGAGGGATGTTAAGTGACTAAAACAAATGCAACTGCTTCTTCTGCAGGTGGTAAACAATGAATTATCACGCAGACTCTATTGCTGTAAAATCCATTGCATCCACAGAGAAGGTACGTTGAAAAGAAACCGGTACCACTTTTAAAGACCATGAAAGAAGGATCTGAGGAAAAGGCAGGGAGGAGTACAATCTCTAAAGAAAGCTTTCTATATACTGCACATGATCTCCTCGAAAAGCAAATGATCATTGCTTAGAAGAATAGTACAATCATACTGTATGCTTCGCTGTTGCACCATGGGACAGAATAGCGGATAGTTATGCAGTAACAATACCTCATGCCGGAACAAAAGAGTCGAATATGGCAATAACGCAGAAAAGGCAGGTAACTCCTTTTAGGATAATTGTAGAATCTGAACAGCACTGAGTCACTAAAGAAAATCGTGAATCGCGCCCTTTTCTCCTCCGTTTAGAATGTGGCTCACTAAACTAATTTAACAAAATTATTTACTTTGGTTTAATTGATAACCATTAAACATTTAATTTCCATCCTTGTAATTATTTAAGTGAACAGAGTAATTACCTAGTGATTTTGTCCAAGGAGTGGCATAGCCTTCAACACTCAAACTAAGAGTAACAAATAAAACCATAGACAAAAA